GGATGGATGGATGGATGGATGGATGGATGGATGGATGGATGGATGGATAAATGGAGAGATGGATGGATGGAGGGATATATAGATAGACAGACAGGCAGACAGATAAATGGAGAGATGGATGGAGGGATAGATAGGTAATAGGAGAGATGGATGGAGAGAGAGTGGGCAGTACCTGAAGAACTACATCTGAGGTTCTCCTACAGCCCCCAACACATATGTGCACACACATGTTCATAACCACACAAATGCACTGTAGAAGAGAAAATGTCTCCTTTTTGAGACTGAACATTGTTCATTGTGTATATATCTACTGCATTTCCTTAGTCAGCAATCTATGAATATTTTTGTTGCTTCTGTGTCTTGGCTGCTTTAAGTTTTAACACATTATAGTAATATACAAATCATCTTTGAAAATGCTTACTTAAGGCAATGCTTATTCTAAAAAGTCAGGGCATAGCAAATAATCAGCACTGAGAAGAAACGAACCTCCATCAGTTTCCTGTCTCCCTCCCATCTTTCCTTTCTCCTCTCCTGCCTTCCCTCCTTCTGCTGTAGCCTTTCTCCTTTTACCCCTCCCTCTCTTCCTTTCTAATAGCCCCCATCTCTCCCCACACCCCAAATCACCTCTTACAATTTGCCATCTCTCCCTGGGAACCAGGTGTGGCTCCCTTACAATTCCCTCTGCCTCCCTCATACTCAACAGTCACTCTAGGATGGATTCTGAACATTTCCACAGGCATCTGTGTGGTCCCCACAGCTGGGGAGGGTGAGGACACCGCTGCAGACTGTGGGACATCTGCATGGATGGGACATCTTTGGGGAGGGGGCCTAGTGGAAGGAAGTTAGCTCTTTGGGAGTGTGTTCTTGAAAGGGAATTGGGACCCCTGGGGTCTTCCTTTCTATCTCTTGAAGACTGTGAATAGGCCTTCACCACGTGACCCTGCCACGATGTACTGCATCATCATACATCTACAGTAGTGCCCCTCCTGCCTCCCCCCTCTCCCTCCTCCCCCCCCCCCCCCCCGTGTTGGAGGGAGGGCTGCTTGTTCTTCCCTGCCGCCCTGGCTAGCTTAGACCCGAAATGATCACACAGAAACTGTATTCATTAAATCACTGCTTGTCCCATTAGCTCTAGCTTCTTATTGGCTAACTCTCATATTAATTTAACCCATTTTTATTCATCTGTGTATCGCCACATGGCAGTGGCTCACTGGCAAAGTTTCAGCATGTCTGACTCTGGCAGTGGCTCCATGGCGTCCCTCTGACTCCGCCTTCTTCCTCCCATGCTATAGACCAAGCCAGTTTTCTTTATTCATTAGCCAATAAAAGCAACACATAGACAGAAGGACCTCCCATATCACCCCAGCAAAAATAAGTGGTTCCTCCTTAAAAGGTGATTTTCTCAAGGAGTTTGCCACATGCATGGAGAGTTGACGGGTATGATAGCTCCCTCCCTACATTGTCTAGACAAGTCACACGAGCATGTCTGACACACTTCTCTTCACCGTTGGCTGATTAGATACCGGAGATCTACTTCAAGGAGCCAGAAGAGTTGCTCCAGGTCCTCACCGAGCTGGAGGAACAGAATCTCAACTTGGTCCAGTATTCCCAGGATGTGGATGAGAATCTCGAAGATGTCAACAAAAGAGAGAGGTTTATACAGGATAAGATGTGAGTGCATTTCTCCCATTTGACGGTTACTAACCAGAGGCCACACCCAACTCACTTGGGATGTCTCTGCTCATGGTTTAGGCTGGGGTTTTTATTAAAAATGATTTACATGTTGGGCACAAAGAAGGTAGAATTTACAAGTGTACAGAATAGACTGGTTTTAGTTTAATTTTCTTCCTGTTTGTCTCACTTGCTGAAGTATTGCTGGAAGAGCTGAAATGACGCCCATTGCTGCCGTTCTGTCCAGGACAGCTGTCAGCTGGCCACCTGGCCACCTAGACTGGTGGAAATGAACATGATCTCCTTGGGTGTGAAGCTCAGCAAACTGACTTTCTGTGATTTAATACTACACCATTTTATGTGTCTAGCAGCAATGCAGGCCTAATACAGAGGAGATTAGATATGAGTCATGGAGTCCCCTCCCCTGAGATTACAGGATTGAGAGTTTCAGATTATAGAGTGTAAAGCTTTATATCCATTTGTCTCTAAAATGTGCAGAATCGTTCGACAGTTTTCTGCATCAAAAGATGGCAAATGTTTTAAGAAATGGGTAAAACTACACTTAACATCAGAATCAATTAATTTGCCCAGAAGGCAACCCTCCCCCGTCAAAATAATCAAGGCTTCCCAGCACCCTCCATTGTGCCTCTGTGCCCAGTTCCATCCTTGGTGTATGTGGTGGTGGCCCAGAGAAGGTGAGCATGTTTGAGATGGAAAGGGATCTATGACCAAATCTTTCCCTGGAGGATTTTTTTTAAAGATTTATTTATAACAGACATGAGTGCTCTGTCTGCATGTGCACCCTCATACCAGCAGAGGGCGTCAGATCCCATTGTAGATAGTTGTGAGCCACCACCTGGTTGCTGGGGACTGAACTAAGGACCTCTGGAAGAAAAGCCAGTGCTCTTAATTGCTGAGCCATCTCCACAACCCATGCTCTAGAGGATTCTTACCAGAATCTCGAGGCAAACTAGTTAGGTGTTCATTTGCCCTGAAGCTGAGGCTATTCTGATGTATCAGCCAGATTTGGGGACACGCACATGCTGGAGATACACAGCTTGGGGGTCCTGATGCTACCTCCATTCTGCTGCTTTCTGTTTGGGGTCTTGAGGGGAACCACAATAGCAGAGGAAGGAAAGCAAATGTCTTCTAATGGAAGTTAAAGCCTGCATTTAAGCATGTATTTGCCTAGTTGTAACTTGAGTGTAGATCTAAAGGTATGACTAGGGAATAAAACAATTATTGAACAGGCACGAGGATTTGAGTCTGAACCCCAGAAACCACATAAAGCCAGCTGCAGTAGTGCACATCTGTAATCTCGGTGCCCCTAAGGCGAGACGGTAGGCAGAGATAAGCAAGAGACTCCCCAGTAGCCCAGGGGCCATACAGCCTGGCATTTGCTTCTGTGAACAACAAAAGAGAAACCCTGGGCCATTGGGAGGCTTTGGTGGATAAAGGTGCTGGCGGCCAAGCCTGAGTCCAATCCCTGGAATTCACATGGGAGCAGGAGAGAGCCAAGTCCTGTAAGTTGTCTCTGACTCCTACATACACCAGGGCATTCGTCCCTGACCCGACCACAATAAACATTTTCTTAAAGGAAGGGGGTCTGTCTGAAACACGGTGAAAAGTGAGGCCAAGCATCTGAGATTGACCTCTTGTC